CTGATCGGCCAGCAGCCGTTCTGGAGCGCCCTTATCCAATACGTAGCCCTGAACAAAGGCGTCCACGACGGCTGCTGCTGACTGGTTGGGGAGGGCCCAGGCCATAGGCCACCATGTAAAATACTCAACCCCAACCAGAAGGTAATTGATACCACGAGACGTAGTAGGGAAAGGCCCCAGAATATCAAGAGCAACCAGCTCGTTTACACGGGACACCGAGATGGGCTGTAAGGGTGGGCATGCAGGCTTCGCTGGCGGCTTCCGTTGCGCACATTGGGTGCAGCCCATTCAAATATCTGTTATATCACGCAGCATTCCTGGCCAGAAAAATTGAAAACGTAGCAAGCCCATGGTTTTGTGCACGCCCAGGTGCAACAATCGCTCGTGTGCCGCCCACACGGCTTTACATCACAAAGCCGAAAGCACCACAATTTTGTAATGGCATGAATCAGCATCCCAATGCATGAGCAGACCGCGCCGTATAGCGAAGAATTAAATTTCACATAACGTGAGGCCGTATCACGTGCGCGACGACGCAGAGACAACAACGATGCGTCGTCCATTTGGTACCGACCCCATTTGTCCAGGGTTAGCCCCAGCAAGACGTCACTTGCTGCCGGACCCGCATGGTCCACCCCCGGTGCAGAATCGGAGGGAAGCGCGGTGGAAACTGTTTCAAGAGGCCCAACCAGCTCTACCAGTGGCGGCTTGCAGCGGCCAGAACCCATAAAGCACGCGCATTTATTCATCGGTGGAAGTCAAAATAACACGTCGGCATTACTGTGCTGTGTACCCTTGCGGTAAGTAACCATGAAATCGTAGTCCTGGAGGACTTCGAGCCACCGGGAAAGCTGGCCGGATGGTTGGTCAACACGCACAGCGTATTGTAACGCTGAATGATCAGAGCGTACAGTAAAACGTTGACCGTACAGGTACGGCCTGTATTGCTGGATGAAATTAACAATGGCCAGCAGCTCGTGTCGGGTTATGCAATAGTGTTGCTCCGCAGGGGACAAGACCCTGCTCCCATAGGCAACGACCCTCTCTACGCCATTTACGTTTTGGGATAGCACCCCACCGATTCCAGTGTTGCTGGCATCGGTGTCCAGAATAAACGGTTTCGCAAAATCGGGGTAAGCCAAGGTCGGTGCCGCCACGAGAGCGTTCCGCAAGGAGTCAAATGTGGCCCGTTCAGCATCCCCCCAATGAAATTTCACCCCTTTTGATGTAAGGGCATGCAGTGGCTTGGCGATTGTCGCGAAGCCAGCAACAAAACGTCGGTTATATGACGCAAACCCGATAAAACTGCGAACGTCCCCCGCAGAGGTGGGAGTAGGCCATTGGCTGACACATTTTGTCTTTTCGGGGTCAGTGGAAATTCCTGAGCGACTGACTATGTGGTCCAAATAGCGCACCGACTCAAGCAGAAGGTGGCATTTCTGCGGATTGAACTTCAAGTTAGCAGTACGCATCTTCAAAAAAACAGCGCGCAACCGTTCAATGTGTTCGTTGAACGTGCGGCCAAAGACGATGATGTCCCACTGGAGCCCAGCGAGGACGAGCTCCATGAGCCTCTGGAACGTCGCTGGGGCCGAGTGGATAACCATGGGCAATCTATTAAACTCAAAAAGGCCCTGTGGTGTCCGAAAAGCAGTCTGGTTTTGACGCCTCGTCGAGGGGAAGTTGCCAAAACCCCGACAGAAGGTCTAGAGTGGAAAAATAATGCGCCCCTGCCAGAGCATCCAATGACTCATCCATATGTGGGAGAGAATAGGCGTCAGCCACAGAAATTTTATTTAGGAGCCGAAAATCAACACAAAAACGAAGACTGCCATCGTGCTTTTTGACCAGCACTATCGGAGCATCCAGGGACTGGTTGAAGGAGAAATTATATCAGCCGCCAGCATGACGTCAACTGCCAATTTCACATGCTGTTTCTCCGCCGGGCTGAGCCGAAACGGGTTTTGACGGATAGGGGCAGCGTCATCAGTATCAATGTAGTGACGCAGCACCTTAGTGCAGCCAATATCAAATTTTGATTTACTGAACACATCCGAGAATTCCCGCAAAAGAGCCCGCAATTTCATCTGCTGTGACCTGGATAAATCGCCAGCGTCTGCGCAAAGTGCATCTAACCATCCCTCGTCTGATTTGGGAGGAGGTTGAGGCTGCGGGTCGTCAAATACATTTCCCACGACCTCGGTCCCCAGGGGCGCCACTGTCGCGTGAGCGAGCACAGTCCCCTGTGGAACGACGGTTTCGGACAGACCAACATTCAAAACTTGCAAAAATGGCTCCCTGTCGGCCGCTACGAGGGTCTGTGTCGCCACCGATGCTAGGCCCTTAACCGCCGTGTTGGAGGGCCCTAACAGAACGCCATGTACCGAGGCATTAGGAGCGAGTGGATTCTTTAACCGCAGGGGTACAAGCATTTGCGCCCCTGGCGGAATGCGTACAGTGCAAGCCGCAAAAGCCTGCACAGAGGCATTGGCCGTACGTGAATGCGTGGTCGCAGGTAAAAACGCCATCCGACGGCCCGACGAAAGTTCAATACACCCCTGATCGATGAGGATTTTAATCGGCATTTTGGCGAGAAAATCAGTTCCCAGGAGGCACGGCACAGCGAGGGAGGAAGAGACCAAAACAGGGCCGGCCAATTTAATATCACCAATCGAAATTTGCGCCCGAATTTGCCCGATAATCGCCAGCGAACTTCCATTCGCGGCAAAACACGGAACAGAGACCTTCTGCAAGGACGACGATCGCTCTCCAGAGCGCCGATTAATTCATTGATTCGGAACGGCTGCGACGGCAAATAAAACAATACAGTGGAACCTCGGTATACGTCGTTAATTCGTACCAGAAGGTAGGACTTATACCGAAAATGACGTATACCAAACGAATTTTTCCCATAAGAAATAAAGGGAAAGGAAATAATCCATTCCAGAGGAAAATAAATGATATTTTTATGGCATATTATACGTTAATGGGGTTGTATAAAATAATATAGACACTACTTATTACTGAAATGCATACAGAAGCCACATGACCGCGCTGCTTCCAGCTGCGCTGGTCACGTGGCGTGCCTCAACCCCGCACATCGTGCACACCTCAACCCGGGGCTCCACCCTCCATGGGGGCAGCCCCCCACGCCCCCCGCCCCCCGCCCCTCTCCCCCACATCCCCCGCCCCTCTCCCCAACGCCACCCTGCCCATCTCGGTTTGTTTCAGTCGTGAACGGGGCATACAGTGATACCTCGGTTCACGAACTTAATTCGTGAACTGACTCTGGTCGCGAACCGAATTGGTCGTGAACCGAGGCATTTTCCCATAGGGTTCAATGTAAATCCGGTTAATCCGTTCTGACCTTTTTTTTTGGTTTTTGAAGCACAAAAATATGAAACAAATTACAATACACATTAGTACTGTACAGTATAGTAATGTATAAAGAGAGAACACTAACCTTGCTTGAGATGACTTCAGTAAGCACTCAAACGGGTGAACTGTACAATACAGTAAGTACAGTATTGTACAGTACAGTAGTACAGTACAGTACTGTATGTGCTAAAAAGCACACCAAAAAGCCAAAAGTCACTGAAAGTGTCTTCACAGTACTCACAGTACTTCTTTCTGTGTCTCTTCTTCTCTCCACGATCTTCCTACAGGAAGTCACGACCACGTGACAGCCTGGAAATAGCATTAAAATGGCCGCGGCTCCTGTTCGTGAACCGAAGCGGAGTTCGTGAACCGGAGCATATTTTTATGAATTTTTCTGTTCGTGAACCGAGTTGTTCGTGAACAGAAGCGTTTGTGAACCGAGGTATCACTGTACGCGGGTACTGAATGCAGTGACTCATCCCGACCCATACAAGTTCTAGCAAGCGCGTCGTATCCCAAGCAAGACGTCGTATCTCAAGACATTTTTTCTCTCTAAAAAACACGACGTATACCAAATTCGACGTTTTCCAAAGCGGTTATATACCGAGATTCCACTGTGTTACGTAATCCAAGCACGTGGTACTGCTGGCGGTGGTTGCCGCGTGTGTAGAGCTGCGCCGCGAGGTACGCGGGTACACACCTGCATATTCATACAGCGGTTGTTGCAGTTGTGGTAGTGGTAGGTGTGGTGGCGGTTATTGCGATGGTCGTGGGCATTGTGGTTGGTTGTACGGCTAGTGGGGTTCGTGCTGCGCCGCGGCCGCGCATCTTTATAAGGCTATTTTTAGCGCGTGCACGTGGTGGCCAATAGGCGCGGGTGGCTGCGCGTGTCCGAGTGTGGGCAGCGGCGTGCATGGGCACGCGCGTGCCAGGAGTCTTCTCCGAACATTTGGGGGGAATGCACGCGGGGAGTGTGTGTGGATGACCCGAGGTGGCCGAGAGCCATCCCAAGAGTAATGTCTCACAGGGGGGACGCAGAGGCAGCGAGGAGGGAGGAAGAGGAGGAGGAAGGGGGAGAGGAGTCGGGGGGCAGCAGCCCCTACATGGTTAATGCAGACAGGATTCCTTGAATAAGGATTCTGTTTGGTGTTTTTAACATCCTGACACCTGTTTTATTGCCAGAACGGGTAAAAGCTATTGTTATGTCAGGGATGTTCATTTTGTGGGGCTGATTGTTTTTTTTCCTCCACAAAATGTAAGTAAGTTAATTTTACTTAACCTATTGTTTTTACATTTCTTTCAGAAATTTTAAGATGTGAACTGTTTTTTGTGAACATATTTTTTAAAAAGTGGAAAGTAAAAGTTGCTTTAAAATGTAAATGTTGTGTTTTAAGCACACAGCATAATGTACCAAATCATTGTACTGTAGAATGTAAATGTTTGTGAAACTAAGTAAAAAAATCAAGTTTCCTTATCAGGTCAGACATCTTTTTAATTCAGGTAATAGCCATATTATTGTCTAACTAGAGAGCTATTGAATCGGAAAGTGCTATGTTTAAATCCTAGAGACTAAAAATATCACTCCATGATTACCGTCAATTCTGAACATAAACGAAAGACACAACGTTAAAAAGTCTATTTCTCCACTTTTTATATCTACTCTCCTATTCCCTTAATTGCCCCCAACTGGCAGCCTCGTGGCTGTCCGTTAATTGCCCCAACCGACAGCCCCCCCCTAGCAATTGTCTGCTGATCACACTCCACCTCACAGCCACGAGCTGTAGGAGCGGGGCTCTGTCACTCAGTGGTGCTGATAACGTTCATATTCAACACCATCATCCATGCAGTTCCTCGTTGCGGTGTCACCTCCCTTTATCATATAGCCTCTCTATACATGAGGATTGTGTTTCACTCCATCTCGATCACTCGCAAGAGACCCTTCAAACCTTCCACATTCATGCACATCGTAAATTACTTCAGGAATGCTTTTCCTCTTCCAAATGTGTGTACACAGTGTTGGGATATGAGAGCAGGTTTACAGTGTGCAGAGCGTAAAGAGTCACTCTGACCCCTAATAGATAATAACCACATCAGCACTCCTTATCTGATTGGCCAACGTGTCTGACAGCTTTCAGATAAACAATTGTGGTCAGCTGCGTGAGTCACATGCAGGTACAGCGGCTCACCACTACACGTCGACTTTCGCGACCAATAACATCCATAATACAGGGGTTTTTTGGTTGAGATCGCGTAAATACATTCAGTAAATATTTATACAATTTAATCCAAAAAAACTCATTATAGCTCACCACTGATAAACAACCGGCCCAACAGCTCACCAACCGTACCACGACCTGCCAGCAGCACAATGGACAATGATGAATACCGAAATCGAGGTGAGTTGAATTTACTACACAATGGTGCCAATTATAATAATCATAACAACTAGTGTAATCGGCCGTCAGATGACGGGTATTTTGAGATCGTAAACGATCCAGTGTTTCTTGACTTTGTCAATTACGCCATCTCTGCTGTCTTTCTCTGTTTAATCGACGTCTTATTTTGTGTGTAGACCCTTCTGGTTTCATCTGAATGAAATATAAATTACGGAATGTGATGTACTGAATTTAATGTATTACAAACCTGTAAATAAAGAATTACAATTGTAAATCACCTTCATCGTAAGGTTATAAGAACAATATGTAAGTAAAAAAATGGTTTTCCAAACTTAACATTTTCCTCACCTGTGAGAGTGAATAAAAGAATATAAACACTTAGTTCTCGACTTCTGTTTGTTGCAAATGTGCAATTGTTGTAGGAATTGTTATAAGTATCGACTTACTGCATTCTGTTTTGATAATTCAAAAAATAAACTATTTCATTTTCGCTAAAAATGTGATCAGAAGGTCGCTTTAAAAAATGAACTTCCACTTAGTTACAATAGCTCACTGGATTCTGAATTGATGTTAATTAGAAAAAGTTACTACAGTAATTATTATTGATTGGAAGGGGAGAGGTCGGTGTTCACAAATTTTCACAAATTTCCACTTTAAATGCGAGCAAAAGTCATGAAAGTGAAACTCCACTGAGTTCAAATTAAAAGTGATTCTGCTTCTTTATTTCAATTTCTATTCGATGTCCAAAAAAACTATTGTCACACAAATTAACTGAATAGATTATTTATCATTATTCTCTAAAGGTGTGTGAAACGAAAATATAAAATACAAACACAAGGGTGCACTTGGGTTTTATCAAAAGCGGAGCTGGCATATTTTTGGGGAAAAAATAGTATTCTTGTAACAAACTAACAATTATTAGTTACAATTGTAATAAGCCTTTCATGAAAATTTGTTTTTATTGCATGAAAATCCACGTAGCCTACCCAGCGTCACACACAGCGTACAGGGTGTCAGGCGTTAGGCACAGATCACCAAAACTATATAATGATAAAAGGAGTTTCAATTGGTAAAGAAACTGAATAATTCCGTAACTTATGTCAGTGAGATTTCAGTAAAATTATAATTCCCATAGTGAATAACGCATGGGCATAATACTTACGTACATCATGATCAATACTGTATCAGTAACTAGCTGTACTACCCGGCTTCGCCCGGGAGTTGGATCCACCACGCCCGGCCGCCTTTGTCTCCCCAATGGCGATGTTCACACCACAGCAGTGACTCGTTTTGAGGCTGAGTCGACCTAGGGGAGGCCCAGGACCGGTTAAAATAATCGTCACCGGTGGTGGTATTGAGCGGGAATCGAACTCGGGTCGCCGGGTTCGTAGCGCAGCGCGCTAACCATTACAATGCAATGCGTTACGCTTCCACATGCGCGGGTCACGTGACAGATTTTACGTCACCGCTCACTTGCCGTGCAAAAAATAAATGCATTATTGAGCTCGCCCCCCCCAAAAAAAACAAAAGTGTATTTCTATAATTTTTGCATGGTGTACAGTCTGGAAAGTACCACATGGCAAATTAGCAGTTTGTTGCATGTCGGGAAGTACGCTAAACATTGTGAACATACACATATTCACAACTTTGCCTTTTATATATATGGAGATATACCAAGTGTTTCACACGATCAAATATGGCCGTACCCTTGCACAACTGCATATTAGAAGAGCAACGAGATGTTAATAGTGGAATGCTTTGATGTCTGCCAGCCGAGTTGCCCTTGAAAAAGGGCATCTTACCTCAATGGGCTATACTTGGGGAAAAACCTCTTCTGATTCTGAATTTTTTTTAAATGTCCTCTAAAGGTGTAAAGGAAAGTGGAATATAATTGAGTTACATAATTATAATGACTATGATTACAAATGGATGGAATGGCTGCGATGAGTTTGTGATGATGCCATGAGAAAATGCAATTTGGCCAGCTGATCTAGCTTTCTCTGAAAAATTATAGTAACCTATGATAGTATATTTCTCCATGATTTGATGTCATTATGGTTTTCAGACAGCACAATGAATGGGTTTTTGGCGCTACCTTTCAGACCGTTTTAAAATGGTGTCAATTGACAATATTTCAGGCACAAAAATCCAAGTCACAAAGGGTGCTCCACAAAGTTTGATGCTTGGTCTGCTTTTGCGAGAGCAAAAAATTCTTGCCAGCTGGCTCAAAAACTGAATAGACAAACGAACAACACTTGGCAAAGCTTTCAATACGTCTAGAGAAGCCGTCGACGGTATTAATAGCAATGGAGAGCTTCTAAATGCAACTTGACATGGTTTGGGATTTCATTTTCGCAGCTATAGTGGAACCAGTTCTTGCTTAACAGTCCCGATAAATACGCAACCACGACCCAGGTTAACATTAACATTAGGTGATGGGATTATAGCAAATGTGACCAGCACTGGCAGGCATCATCACGAGCTTTGCAAGAAATTGCAGGGCTGCACCATTACCTTAAGCACAGTTTACCACACCTATCCCCGGCACTATCCCCGGCGGTGCGCGCAGGTAAGGAGATGGTGGACTACATCGCCATGTATCTGCGTGAGCTACGTAAGCGGCCCGTGAACCCCTCCGTGCGGCCCGGCTACCTGCGTCCCCTGCTGCCCCCTGGCCCCTCGCAGCAAGGAGAGCCCTGGGAGAGAATCTTTGAGGACGTGGAGCGGCTCATCATGCCTGGGGTAACGCGCCCAGCCACAGAAACATGGATAAGATGTAGAAATAAAGGGAAAACTTAGAATTGAGACCGCTCACCACTGAACAACATGGAGTAATGTGTTTGACCACGTGGATACCATTAAAATTATTGCTATGAAATTCAAAACAGTTTCTATCTATATATATATCGGAGAGTCTTCCAGTGGGTTGTTTGGCCAATTTTATTCACGAGTTGTGTGAGGGATGGAAACCAGAGGACCTGGAAACTCACGCATATGAGTACGGGACACTCAAAGCCCCGCACAATTTGATTCCATAATCCGTAGCTGTTCAGCCACTTCCTCGCTGGCTTACAGTCCAATCTTACAAGCCCTGGTATTTCCAGGCAGTCTCTCATCTAAGTACTAACCAGGCTCAATCCTGCTTACTAAAGAGATTGGGCTCATGCAGTGTGATTTGGTGGTTTCCACACCTTGCGTGCATTATTTGAGTTTGATAATGGCCATGTAGCAGATATTGACCATTTAGTAGAAAATCTTTTAAAAAATGCACTGGTGGCCCACTCCTGTAATCCAGCACTGTGCAGGCGAGGGTTGGTGCATCGCACAAATGTTGCAAAACTCCCTTCCCGTGGCCGTCAATGTGTCATACCGTGGCTTGCCAGAAGGCAGGACACCAAGTGTGGACTCCACTTGTTCCATCTGTATGGGATAGAGTGGGTTTCCTGTTGGTACGGTGGTTTCTTTCGACATGTAAAACACTCATTAATTGGCCCATAAAACATTTCATATACAGTATGGAGAACCGCAGAGCTTGTGCAATTGTTGGTTTCGGCTCATCACGTGGCTGCCTTCCTGCTTGTCTGTGATTCCTCGTGCCTTTGAGTTGTTTTTTCTACGAGAGTCAGCGAATACTGTGCACGTTACAAGCTGAAATTGTTATTATTGGTTATTTGTTGGATACTCTTTGGTTCTTTCGGTAGAGTCACGTAGTTAGAAATAAAACAAATCACGACGTTTCAATCGCAACACAAGCGGTCGTCATCAGGCAAAGGAGTCAGCCTCTAAAGGCAAACTGTTTATGAAACGTCGTGATTTATTTTATTTCTATACTACGTGACTTTACCGAAAGAACCAAAGAGTATGGATTCCTGCAGTCACGAAAGCTTCAAATCAGGACGGAATTTATAGCTATAAAGCATTTAGCGCGGGGCCCTTGAAAGTGCGGGGCCTGTAGCATATACTGTTTTTGCTATTAGTGTAGAAGAGTGAAATACGCGGTGTGCACAGTTAACCGAGGGCAACTGAGGCCAAACAGGTGTGCATGTGCAACATGGGGTTTGCACGGACAAACTGCCAGTTGTTAAGGGGAGAAGCAAGTGCAAACGGGGTCGACCGGTTGTGCATGTTGAGACCGGAGGTGTTGCCAGGGAGATGGGATATAAGGGTTGATTGACGGGCCAACAGGTGCAAGCCTGGCGAGAGCCTAAAGAGAAGCATGAGAGGTCTCGGATAATTAGCAGAGGGATGTAAGGGTGTGTGCGTGAGTGGAGAGAGGATTGTTGCCGGGGACCAAGTGTTGCCGGGGACCAAATCAATATCTGTTGGATTTTGCATTTGACCACGTAGATTGCTGCATAAATATAAGTGAACTGTGCCGTGTGCAGGTCGTACACTGGCAGAGCCCGCACATGCACGGGTACTACCCGGGGCTCAACTCGTACCCGTCACTCCTGGGTGACATGCTGGCGACTGGGATGAACGGCGCTGGGTTTACATGGGTAGGTGTACGGCTGGGAGACTTATCCATGGGTCCGCCTCCCTGTGATGTTACAATTGATCACAGAGTGAGGTTATGATTGAACTAAAGATGTTTTTATTTTTATGAATTGAACGCCTCCAGCGGCTGCAGGGGTCATATGAACCTCTTATATACAACATATTTAAATGCAAAATAACTGATTATCACATACACACGTAATTTTCTGTATTGTGAACACAATAATGCATTGTTAAAAGCATAATGGATTCGTAAGGCATACAAATGTTGCATAAATCTGTTAATCGTTGTGCACGGGTACGTCCACTCACTGGAGCCTGCTGTGATAGCTCACTTGATCAAAATATCCAATGTGTTAAATGGTGGTGAGATGTGACCCTGACAGTGCCTTGATTCAGTCACTGAGTTGATGACACTAGGCCAGGGGTCGGCAACCTACGGCTCCGGAGACGATATGTACGTATGTACAGTATGTACTCAGATGCATTGCGGCTCTTGAAATACTGAATTTTGTACCGAATTGGAAAGAAATGGCTCTTCTTGTTATTTTGGTTGCCGACCCCTGCACTAGGCCATATTGATCCCACCACAATACAAGAAGCTTGGGCAAAAATCGAGCTTTCCAAAGAGTCAACTGGAGTAAAAGTTTACCAGAGGTAGACGACGCTAAGATACATTTTGTCAATGTCATGGTGGTTTCTCTGACATTGGATGAATCTTGTGTCGAAGAAATATGTATCTCTTACACACAGATAGGAAACGTTCGCAAGGTTCACGTACAGAGCTCCGTGACTTCTCTCATTGCTTCCACTGTTGAACTGCAGTAATGGTGCGTGCCGTGTCTATCGCCTCCTTAATTTGTTGATGTGGCAGAGCCCATAGGTACAAATGAGAACCGTAGACACTCCATTCCGTTCAGTCAGACATCTGGCATACACCGTCCAGCCGGCAGGTGTTAGACAATAACTGCACGGTGAGTCGACAAAACAAGCAACGTTAGTGGGCAGTGTTGGGGTTGAGCGTCGTGTTTGTTGTTGTGGGGGATGCCTGACCTGGGTCAGGCGTCTAACCCGGCTAGCACGGAGCTGGAGATGGTGGTGACGGACTGGCTGGCGACCATGCTGTCCCTGCCCGACACCTTCCGGCACGACCACCCAGGCGGATGCGGTGGCGGAGTCATGCAGGTGCTTCATCTAAAACACCATCGTCGTCGTCGTCATTCGAAAACGATTATCATAACAATCAACATCATGCTTCTCTGACTTATTCATTTTCAATAAAAGTAGTACAAATGTCCAAACTTGTACAAATGTGCAAGGGACTCGTGGTGTCTTGAAGGTCCTTCATCTACGTCACCATCGTCATCATTTGAAAAATATTATCTTAACAATTAACATCATGCTTCTCTGAATGTTTTTCAAAGCAAAGTTGTATAAATGTGAAAATTGTCTATCCCTTAATTGTGGGTTCCATTTGAATCCTCTTCACTAATATACGAAAGTGAAGCATCGCCAACCAAGTGCGCGTGTGCGTGCAGGCGTTCATGAGCATATTCACCAGGGGCGGTTTCTTCATTAGGGCGATTGGGCGACGCACCACCAATGTCATTCAACCACAGAGTTACGCTAGCCGTTATTGTGCCTCTCGATATAGTCCAATTAGCGTCATGTCACATTCTGTGGAGTACCGCCTCTTTTTGGGCGATTTCACTCTGGCTGAGAATCGCCCAGAGTGTTCCCATAGACTTACATTCAAAGATGTTTTTTTTTTCGAACGGCGGGCGCTCCAATGCATTCTCTATGGCTTCCGGGAGGGCTCGCACTAACGTGCTTACGTCATCATACCTAAGCACGTTTCAGTCAACATTATTATTTGTCGCCACCTAGTGGAATCTTTAATAAAAGAATCTGAGTGGATTGTAATAATAGTGAGTATAGAAACAAACAAGATGTATTGTAAGAGTCACTTTATTTTTCATTAATATTAAAGAAGTGAAGTTGCCTTTACATGCTTAAGCTGTTAATTTATCCATTGCATGGGTGGACCTTATCCTTATCAATCATCCAGACATTTGTTCCCCCTGAAAGATTTTGCAGGAGCCGCCACTGATATTCACAAAATGATTTGCGCGCTCTAACACAAACCTAACAATCTGGGTTCGATGCCTGGCCATTGGTCACCAATGTCAATTAGACAAATGAATCTTTCTTACGTCGACTCAGCCTTGCACTGCGTGGTGAACAATGGAAATGGAGATATGAAGGTGGAGAGGTGCAGTGCTTGCACCACTCCTTCTTGTACTGTTCTGGGTTAGTTAGGTGCTCAAGATAATTGCACGTGTCCACAGTCTTCTTTGAGGCGACAGTGTCTGTGTGTCCCACAGACGAACCAGTTCAATTCCTGCTCACGGCTAACTCCAGTGACAAATATCTGAATCGGTTCTGGGCCTAACCAAGGTCGACTGAGCCTCAAGAGCTGCTTTCAGTGTTTATTTTGTTGTCCTTCCCCCGCACCTTGGATTATCACGGTTGGCAACGTATGGTGCGAAAGAAGTTCAACATACATACAAATGAGTACCTGATGCAGTGTGTAAACATTGCCACTGGGGAGACAAAGGGGATCAGGCGAGGTGCTGGCTGCCCACCTCCCTCGTGCATCGAGCCAGCCCTTTGCATAGGTGCTCACTTAAGAGCACTTGCCATAAAAGTCTGCTAAGACTATACGGGGGATCTTTGTCTCTCTCTGTGTCCCACAGACCACGGTGAGCGAATCCAACTTGCTGGCGTTGCTGGCGGCACGGACGCGCGCTCTCGTCCGCCTGCGCGGGGACGCGCGCGTGGACGTGGGACAGGATGCACTCCTCAACGCGCGTCTCGTAGCGTACACCTCCGACCAGGTGCGCACCTCTGCCCGGATAATAACTCGTCCTCTAACACGCACCGATCATTATCACCCAGGAGCGCTGCAGTTGTGAAAATCAGATGGTGTGATCACGGATCGACATTGCGATCGTTATCAGGAGGAAAACTACCGTTGGTATTTTTTTGTCACATCAAGCTATATTGCCACACATGTTGAATAACATTGCTTAAATCTTGAATGAGTATTTTGAATGATAAATCAAATATTTTGGCGGCTCAACCGGAATAATGACAACAGGTTAATTTAATGCAGAGCTATGGCAAGCAAACTTTAAAAAAATCAATTATATTTTTTCTGGAAAATTATTCTTTTATTGAGACATACGATCAGTCTTCAGGCTCGCTTGGCGTACACTTCCGACAAGATGGCCCCCAACGCGATCCACCCACAAATGTGAAAATTGCTTACAAAACAAAATAAAAAAGATATCCCAATGGGGTGAAGTGGTGGTGCAGTGATTAGTGCACTGCATTATGGACCCAGCAAAGTTTTTTTATATTCTTTGGGTCTTTCGGTAAAGTCACATAGGACAAAAAAAATAACAACAAAAAACTACAACGTTTCGATCGGAACACAAACAATCGTCATCAGGAGGAGAAAAGAGGGGAAAGCTGCTGAGGCAGGCTGTTTTAAAGGTTTGAAATGGGTGCAGCCCAAAGTTCTTAAACGAAGTGGGCAGGGCTAGTGATGTTCAAGTGAGAAATATGCATGTTAATGTAGGATCGGAGGGCTTCTTCCACGGCGAAAGCGGGGAGGTGGCTATTGTAATGTGAGAGATTAAGATGTTAATGTAATGCGAGCGTAAACGGGGTTCGCTGCTAGGCTCTGGCCCAATCATACGGCCCGGGGTATTGGGGGGCGGAGCCCAGTATGGGGGCATATGGGAGGGCCCGCCGTTCACCTCGGGTCCAATCGGAAGCGAGATGAATGGGGGTGGAGCCAGCAGGGTGCTATGGGAAGGCCGGATCTGACAGTCCGGAAGGGGAGGAGACAGGATCGCGTGGTAAAGGGGATATAGGTGGGAGCCCGGAAGGGCTCCGGGTCAGTTGTTGAAGTGAAGAAGCTGAACCACGTTGGGTGGCCGGAGGGGATCCGCGCCATCAGCCATGTGGCTGATGGAGCTTCGGCACACCGTCGGCCAGCGGTGTGCGGAGTGGGGGAGCCGAAGGACTGACGAGGAAGCGCGTGCGGGGCGCGCGTGAGAAGACGCTGGTCTGCTGTCAGGACCAGCAGGGTGCGAGCAAGAAGATAAATAAAAGAGCAATGGAGACCAGCAGTGTGTGACGACGTCTTTTATTATATTAATGTAAGATAGCAGAGCCGCCGCCACGTCGAGGACGCGTGCGACGGTGGCTGTGTTAGTGTGAGACATTTAACCTGTTAATGTAAAATCAGAGTATCGAAAATAACAACTAACATCTGAAGGTAGGATGAAAACATCACAGCCAGTTATGACTTAAACTGGTTAATAACATCCTTCCAATAATTGCTGAGTTTGTACCCATCTTTTCGGTTAAAATTTTGTCTCTGTATATAAATCTGGATGGCTTCATGAACGAATCTTTATTGATAGCCAGTGGGTTTGCAAAGTACCTTCGTCTTGAAGAAATCTATTTCGTGTGATATATATAGACACAGTCACAATTTCAACCTAGAAGATGGTTACAAAGTGAGCAATCATTGGAAGGATGTTATTAACCAGTTTAAGTCGTGACTGGCTGTGTTTCCATCCTACCTTTCGATGTTAATTGTTATTTTCGACTCTCTGATTTTACATTAATAGGTTAAATGTCTCACACTAACACAGCCACTGCTGCTCGCGTCTTTAACGTGGTGGCGGCTCTGCGATCTTACATTGACATGCTAATCTCTCGCATTACAATAGCCACCTCCATGCCCTCGGCGTGGAAGAAGACCTCCGATCTTACATTAACATGCAAGTTTCTCACTTTAACATCACTAGCCCTGCCCGCTTCATTTACGACCCTTGGGCTACACCCATTTCAAGCCTTTAAAACAGCCTGCCTCAGCAGCTTTCCCCCTCTTTTCTCCTCCTGATGACGATTGCTTGTGTTGTGATCGAAACGTCGTAGTTTTTAGATGTACATTTTTTTTTCCGTGACTTTACTGAAAGACCCAAATAATATGAATTCCTGCAGTCACGTAAGCTTTAAGTCAAAACAGAGTTTTATTCTTGGCCACGGTTATAACACCTGTGACAAAGGATATTTGAACCACTTATGGCCACCTCCACCCCTCACCAAACCTGAACTGACCAGCATGTCAAAGCATGGTTAATCAATCACTATGACTGACATGGCATGAGGAGGCCTTCATCCAGTGGTTAATTGATGAATCGCTGATAATTGGTTCTTTACCCTTCTATCTGGCAACAAAACTGACACCTTTTTGCAAGGAGTCATGTTTGCATAGACCGCAATACCTGCAGTCATAATACAAACAAAAGAACATAACTCTGATAATGTGCACTGTCCTTGAAGTTGATTGGTCCACACCCGAGACAGCTTTCCTTCGAGCCTAGTCTCATATGGGTTGGACCAGATGACGCCAAAAGGCGCACAACTCAAGGACAATGCACCATCAGAGTATGAGAGCTCGGGGCAAGCATCTACACTATGGGGACCTCATTTGCCAGTAAAAATATGATAATTGGTTCTTTACCCTTCTATCTGGCAACAAAACTGACACCTTTTCATATTTTTACTGGCAAATGAGGTCCCCATAGTGTAGATGCTTGCCCCGAGCTCTCATACTCTGATGGTGCATTGTCCTTGAGCTGTGCGCCTTTTGGCGTCATCTGGTCCAACCCATATGAGACTAGGCTCGAAGGAAAGCTGTCTCGGGTGTGGACCAATCAACTTCAAGGACAGTGCACATTATCAGAGTTATGTTCTTTTGTTTGTATTATGACTGCAGGTATTGCGGTCTATGCAAACATGACTCCTTGCAAAAAGGTGTCAGTTTTGTTGCCAGATAGAAGGGTAAAGAACCAATTATCATATTTTTACTGGCAAATGAGGTCCCCATAGTGTAGATGCTTGCCCCGAGCTCTCATACTCTGATGGTGCATTGTCCTTGAGTTGTGCGCCTTTTGGCGTCATCTGGTCCAACCCATATGAGACTAGGCTCGAAGGAAAGCTGTCTCGGGTGTGGACCAATCAACTTCAAGGACAGTGCACATTATCAGAGTTATGTTCTTTTGTTTGTATTATGACTGCAGGTATTGCGGTCTATGCAAACATGACTCCTTGCAAAAAGGTGTCAGTTTTGTTGCCAGATAGAAGGGTAAAGAACCAATTATCATATTTTTACTGGCAAATGAGGTCCCCATAGTGATGAATCGCTCTAAATCATTACTGGAAAAAAGACAAGGCACCACGATCAGCTCTTACAGTTCCTCAGTTTGCCTACTTTAATCGATAACATCTGCTTTGGGAAATAAACAACGTGTGTTTGCATTCAATTCCATGTTTTATAAATTGTCCCTTTCGTCAATAAGACTACCTTAAAAGAAAATCGTATAATGGGCGACATTTAGGGCTATAATTATTACTAATTGCACATCTTTAAAAAGTGCCATTGCCCAAAACGTCACCTATTATATATTTTCTCCTTTTAAGGCAGTGTCATTGAGGAATGTGTTTAGTTTTTTATTGTGCGTTTTGTAAAAATTACGTGTTTTGTAAATGTTTGTGCACATCCGCCAGGCTCACTCGTCGGTGCTGAAGGCGAGCCTCGTGTCGCTGGTGAGGCTGCGCTCGCTGCCCACGGACTTGGAGTTCTCGCTGCGCGGGGAGACGCTCCGACGCGCCGTGGAGGAGGACCAAGCACAGGGCCTCGTCCCGTTCTTCGTGAGTCGCTTCACTCTTTGCACAAATAATTTGCGCGTAAGTTGAGGCTTCATTTATACCATGATACTACCAATTATTAAAAACATTATCAAACTGTTAGCTTGTTTTCACAATGGTAGAATGATAAAGCTGGTAACCCCTAATTCTGTACTAAAAATGTCTACCTTCTACAATCTTCTACATGTCACGAAGTTATGAATAGTTTTGATGATTTTTCTCAGTTTCTTATTTTAAAGTAAGTTAAATTTTGGCATCGTTATTTAATTAAAATATTTTACGAATCAGATTCATTATATGCAAAGTTAGTTGTGTTAACATATTACAGACGACCAAGTTATGGTTAATGTATCAGAGAGCCTTGGTGCCAGGTCCACCCTGAATATAAAACATCTATTTCTTTCTTTTTGCCTCGATATCTCTCTGCGAGTTTTTATTTGTGCCTCTCAATGTGTATCCGGCTCTCTGTGTCTCGTCGTGTGTCTCTCTATTATTCTCTGTGCCCTTCTCTTCCTCCGTCTGCAACTTGTTAGTGTCCATTAGACATTTTCAATGCCTCTCTATGTCTTACGTCTTGGGTAGCCACTCAAATCACCCACCTCTAAGGTCTGGCCTGCTCACGCTGAATACACATTGAGGAATTCTATGCCAGTTTGTTTTCTTGGGTCGATCATCCGCTCATCTGTGTGCTGGTGGTGACTGTTCTGACTGCTGTGCATCGTTCCCCATGCTCCCTGTAGGTGTGTGCGACCCTTGGATCGACGGGCGTGTGCGCCTTTGACAACTTGTCCGAGTTGGGCCCTGTCTGTGAGACACCATCTTTGAAATGCACCGAATGCCAACACACCATCGTCACACAAATATTATGGACAGAGCGAGGAGACACAAAGAGTAGTTGCAAACACAAACAGTAGTTGCAGGCTCTTTAGTTGGCCTACTTTTGGTCCCATACATGGTGGCCAGGAGATCTACATGGCAGTCCTACTACTTTTTGGCAGTACAGCAAGCATAATAATTAATCTGCCTGTCTAGAACTGAGTGTAAATTCCAACCAGTGAAATAATAAATAACAGAGACAATGTGTACACAAGTTAAAGACATAGATTTTTAGGAGAGGTGGGATTACACTTTGCAAGGGGGATGCTGACTGGTGGTTAATACTAACGACAGATTGGCAGTCCTTGAGGGCTTCACACAGCATTGGATAAATAGCTCATGTTGATGTTGAAATAATCGAGGCAAGCTTTAGTGTTGACACAATTTCTTAGGCATACTGATTTTGTTACTCGTAATACATATTGTTTGCGAAAGCCAAAATGTTAAACAAATGTTTTACTCTTGTTCATGAATGTATGTATGTTGAACTTCTTTCGGGTGAACGGGTCGGATGGAACGTAGGTGAGAGCAGCGGTGGAGATGTAGAGTCGCTGTGTGCGAAGACGCTGTGTGTATTGTCGCTGTGTGTGGAGACGCTGTGTGCAGAGACGCTGTGTGCGGAGACGCTGTGTGCGGAGACACTGTGTGCGGAGACGCTGTGTGCGAAGACGCTGTGTGCGGAAACGCTGTGTGCGGAGACGCTGTGTGCGGAGACGCTGTGTGCGGAGACGCTGTGTGCGGAGACGCTGTGTGCGGAGATGCTGTGTGCGGAGTCGCTGTGTGCGAGGATGCTGTGTGCGGAGTTGCTGAGAGCAGAGCTGCTGAGTGCAGGATAAGGGAGGTGAGAGGGAGATAAGAGTAGGGAGAGGTTAAACATAAGTGACCGTATATAGTTATAGGAGTGCCTACAACTGGTGCAATAATAGGTGCATAAAGTGTAAGCAGGTGACTTGTTACAACGTGTCGGTGTGAGTAATTTCTGAAGACCCTACACTAGGATAATCCAGCACTGCTTTCAACAAATGGTGCTACACTATTACAATAGGAATCCAGACATCCACGTGTAATATGTGTAAACACCCACTTTGCCTCCACCTATGCTCCCCACAGGCCGCCAGGAGGGGCTGTGGCTGCACGTGGACGCGGCGTATGCGGGCACTGCCTTCCTGTGCCCCGAGCTGCGCGACCCCCTGCACGGGATCGAAATCGCCGACTCGTTCGTGGTCAACCTGGGCAAGTGGATGATGGTCAACCTGGACTGCGCCGTCTTCTGGTGAGAAGAGATGTCATAACGGCTCGAAACCGGCGGCTTGAGCAGAATGCCAAACATTTGGAGGCGCAAGTCACGATTAAAGTGATGTTGTTATACCTGTTTACCATCAATATTATTCATAGCAAAGTTTGTTTTTGGGTTAGATTACGTAAATATAAATGTGTCGTTAACCCACCACCACCCGACACAGCCAACAAGTAAGGTTTGTCAGGTAAACAAAACGTGCCAATTAGTAATTATTTCAGTACACCGGTGTGTTGGAGAGTAAACCCCCACTCATCCCCGTCTCGACTCGCTAGCCTCTCTCCGTGCCCTCAACTGGTTACCCATCGCCAGTAGGGTAATATACAAGATCGCCTGCCTCTGCCACAATGCCTTCACATCTGCCTGCCCGCCGTCCCTTTATTCATTATTGACAACTTGCAGCTCAGCACACGGCAGATGCCTGCCAAGCGCGACTCACGACCTCCTCTTGATACCAAGATCCAGTTGGTTATGTCAATGCGCCACTTCTCGGTGGCAGCCCCAACAGTCTGGAACGCTATCCCTCTGCACATTCGCAGCATCACCTCAATCGCCTCCTTCAAGAGAGACTTAAAAACTCACCTCTATAACCATGCTTTCGAGCGACTCTGAGCTTGGCTCCGCGCCTCTGAGTTGCGGCCCTTACGTCCGCAAATTTGCGTGCGTTATAAATTGCATTATTATTAACATTTACAATTTGAGTATAACGTTTCGCTGGTGATTACAACCAGCTTCATCAGGCGATTTATAAGAATTGTGAAGAAGTCTTCCTGTTTCCTGTCTTGTTATACCAGTGCCGGTGCGGAATCTACTCTGTTTAATGATGGAGCCAAATTCGTGCACGTCTTAATTTATTTGGGTTTCAAGTAGAAACCCACTTCGTTTTTCAATCCACTGCTGGATGGCCTCCCCACACGGCGTCGGTTATGGAGGTTGTTTGACCATTCTTCATCATGTTGTACAGTGTGTTGTTGTTAGCTGTGGTCAGTTGTACCCAGCAGAATCAGAATCTTTATTTAGACTGGAGGAATCTTATGAGCCAAAAAGATGTCCAGTAAGGGCGGGTCAGTAGAATGCGCAAACGACTGTGCCAGCCCTGCCCTTGCACTACCTTTAACTTTCTAGTGCCAGGTTGTACAAGTATTTGCTGTATGCATGTAACGATGCACCAGTTCATGATGCACCAATCAAATCGTTTATATAGTAATCTGGTGAGGTTTATTCAAACCATATATTAATAATGTTGTCACTTTTAGGATAAAACTGTGATAAAGTGACACAACAGTGAAACTTCAAAAACGTGACGGTAAAAATGTGACAAAACAGAATCTCTTATTGAATCGAATCACTACTCTGAATAATAATTCATTGCATCCCTGTGAAGATGAATTATTCGATGCCCAACTGCTGCGCCCTCACCGCACGCTAAGAGTCCGACTCACTGTGCCAGGGTGGCGGACAAGCGGAGTCTGCAGAGCACATTCGGCGTGGAGCCGCACTACTTACAGCACGAGCACTCTGGTTCGGTCACCGACTTCATGGTGAGTGGATTCTGTCCACCTCCAATTTATATATATATATTTTTCAATCCGTCTAATTAAACTAATTGTCTTCATTATATTAAGCGATAATCCCAGTGCATTTCAGATAAGTTTCAAGTGGATATTGGTTAACCAGGTGAAAACTCCTGGATAGACCAGGGTAGTCTCATTTCAGAGGGTGAACTAGGTCACAAAAATGGCAAAACAAATAAAGTACGTACAGCAAATAAGCAAATAGAAATGAGCGCAAAAACAACTTTGTTTTGTGAGAAATGGAAAATGTTGCAGAAACAAAAGTAAGTGTTCAATAATAAATTCCCTGTCGAGCAACGTGGTTCGGATAGATTATTTTCAGTTTTTACAGGGGGAGCAGTGGGGCATCGGTCAGTCGGCATAAAACAGAGAAGGGGGGGGGTCCTAATATAGCAGCGGAAGGGCATCACAGCAGTAGTGTAACAAGCGTGGGGGCAGGGGGTGCCTCGACCCCACCACCTGCTTTACTTGAAACAGCAATCGTGCTGTGACGGTTCCACCTGAAGACGGAAGCTTGTGTTGCCTCCGAAACGTCGTGATTTTTACCTACATGACTTTACCGAAAAAACCTAAGAATATGAATCCTTGCAGTAACGAAAGCTTCAAATCTAGAATGAATATAATAACCTAATTATTTCGGCGATTGACATAAATGAAAATGACAGTGCTGATGATGACGTTGGTTGTTATTATTATGACGATGATGCCGATCCAAAATGACGTCTTGTGCAGCACTGGCAGATCCCGCTGACTGTGCGGTTCCGCTCACTCAAGCTGTGGTTTGTGATTCGCTCGTTCGGGCTGGACGGCCTGCAGGAGCACGTGCGCAGGGTGAGGGCCTCGTGTGACAGTCGCTGGCATTGCCTAACGTGTAAAAACCTCACTGCACTCATTCATTCATCGATGAGTAAACAAACGCATAATATACAGGCGTTTAAAATTGTGTGTTTCTGTGTGCATTTTTATTACAATCGCAATGTTAAAATATTTCACGGTGGTACATATCATTTTGCATATGTAGTGGGTTCTTCAGACGCCGTAGACGGATAGTTGAGGCAACACGTATTTATTATAACACGAACTTGTTAACACACCACAACATCTTCTAACAGGAAGGGTAACGGACCTTCCACCAGCTAGCTAAGGAGATACACTTCCCTACGGAACTCGCCCTATTCCTAAGCTAGGGTCTTGGGCTAGTCTGACCTGACCGCGCCAAGGTGCAGGTCTCGACCACTGGTTACACGGACCCGGCCCTGACGAGGACTGCGGCCTCCGAGGCTCCAGGATCACACCACTGGCTCAGTCTGCCTGGCCCTGACAAGGACTGCAGGTCAGACGAGTCCAAGGTCCTAGGCTAGCCGGCCTTCTGTCCTCACTGGTTCTTCAGTCTTCGCTGGCAACACTCCCAGACCCTCTCGGGCTCCTGCCTTTTATACATCTCCCCACCGAGGGGCGGGGTTCTATGGGATCCCAGGACACCCCTCAGCCCCCACCCGTTGGGAGGGGACCCAGGGGATCCCAGGACACCCTACAGCCCCCCCTACCCTGGCCTAGGGTAATCGTGATTGCCCCCTACAGGTAAGCAGTGGGTGCTAGCCGGAGATGGTGTACGTCCGTCCAATAACACCATTACACATACACCGGTGGAATGTTATTAAAATACTAGCCTTTTGCCCGTCCAAGGACGGGTGTATTGCAGTAAATCTGAAACTTGCGGACTGCTTCTTTCTTGCTCTCGGGACGCGGCTCACGCTTGCCTCACGCCGCCGTGGCACTCCCTCTCTCTCCGCCCTGCCGCTGGCTGACAGCGTGTCGGAGAGAGGGGAGGCTCTGCTGGTGGAGCCCGCCACGTGGCTGATGGTGGGAGCGCAGGCGGTGACGAAGTTCAGACCCAGGCTCTTCACACCGACGACCCAGAGTCCTTTGCTTCATCTGCTTATATCCCACTTCAAGCCACGCCCCTCTCGGAACCTTCTAGAGGACTCTCGAGGCTTCCCGCTAGCTCCGCCCATTTACCTTTCACCCAGATGGGATCCCCCTTACTGATTTGGATGTGAGACAACATAGCACATGTCTGCAATAACCCCCCCGGTCATCCTGTAGGTGACTATTGTAAGTGGCGCACTCTCATTACACTTTGATGTCTAATTAGCATTACGGAGATCGCGTGATGTGAGGGTTCTGCCTTTGTAGTGAGAGTTTTAAGTTGACGCCAAGGAGAGGGGAGGAAGCGCCTCGACCCCCCATGTGGAGTGACGTCAACCACTAATTATTATGAATGGGGGGTGGGGGGTGTCCATTTGGAGGATGTCACCTTATGATTATTAATGAGGTGGGAGGGTGCTCCATATGGAGTGATGTCATCTGCTCATGATTATTAATGAGGGGGGCTGGGCGATGTGGCGTGACGTCACGAGCGTTAAGGACAGACATTCCTCTTTGATTATAATAGGTTTAATTTCATTGACAGCCTTGCATGGATGTCATATTTCTTTAGCAGGAGTAAGTCAGAGTTGTTCACCTGGTTAGACAAAATAAACTGATGAGTCCTGTACAAAACCGCAGTTGACTTCTCACCAAGTGATTTATGATTTATCGACACCAGATTATGGGCCGAGTTAAACCCCCGACCGGGATTGATTTAGAATCACGACGTTACAATTCGGAGTTGAGTGCTTTAACTGACTAAATCATAACTCATTAGATTCCAGTTATTCCACTAAACCTCTCCTACACACTTTGACCTGGGTCTGATCACATTGTGTGGGCCCCCCCGACTAAAGCTAAACTATTTTTATTTTACCAGTTAAGGCCCACTGAGCTATGAAGCTCTTTATTAGAAGCGACCTGGTCACAAATGATAGGTCAATGAGGTGGCATATCACATTGAAATTTATAGCAGCCAACTACTCTAAACGCATGTTTTTACATCTAACACACGAACATCGAAGCGTGGGGCCCCTTAAGACACGGGGCCCAGAGCGGTCGCCCCGATTCGTTGTACCCTAGCGACGACTCTGCTGTGAAACTTGAGAAAGAGTTCATTTTCTTCCTAAAACTGCAGCCATGAGCCACCATAGACCATACTTTAGTAACAATGTGTGGAAGGTGAATCGTGTTGTCATGTGTTACAGGGCGTTGAGCTTGCCAGGTATTTTGAAAGACTCGTCATAGATGACCCCCGGTTTGAGATTCCAGTGAAGAGAAACCTGGGACTTGTCGTGTTTCGCCTCCAGGTGAGTTGCAACAGCCATGCTTTTCTCATTCATCATGGAGTATTTAAGGTGTTGGCCCCTCCAAATGCAGTGGGATAATGTTGGTATGAGCACTGGGTGCAGTTGCACCTCCTGCACACTTGTTACAGCATTGGCTGTTTGGGGGCTACCTGGTGTGTGAATACCTGTTATCAGCCTTAAAGTCTTCTTATTCAGAGATACACTATCAAACCTAAGGTTGAAATTGTAAAGTATTAATGAGATGGCTGGGTGGCTGAGGGGGCTGACACGGTTAAGAGCACTGGCTGAGCCAGTACCACTGAAATCCGGGGTCCGAATATTACAAAAGACACCAACGACTATAGCAGCTTCTCCGGTATAGCAAGTTGAGCCTGGTCACAAAAGACTGCACAAATAACATAATAACTTATTGAAAGTGGTTTCCACTAAACCATATTTCTAGCCGAGGATTGCGCATTTTTGGTTGAATGCAATTAACAATTCCATAGTGGGCCATGTAGAAGGTGCATCCCACCTAATGAGGATAACGGGTAATTATAGAGATCTCAGAGGTAGTCTTGTGAAATCACCTTCTGGGTATCAATCCTTGAGTAAGGAGTGATGTACTCTATATGAGTGTCCTAATGGAAATATATCTGCATCTTTGGCAAATTATAAGCACAGTTATAATATACAGTTAAGAGAAAAGATCAAAGCTCCATCTTGAAGAATTTTATTATCTCTCGACAAGGCCATCTGTAATGCCTAAAAGTGTAAGAACGTTTTTAGGGCCCACATTATCACAGCTCTTTCAGTCGCTACACATTTTAAAATCTCTTTACTTTGAGGCTGTTCTCATCGCAGGGCCCTAACGAGATGACGGAGAAGCTACTCAAGAAGCTCAATGCATCGGGGCAGCTATTCGTGGTGTCAGCCATGGCTAGAGAAAAGTTCGTCATCCGCTTCACCATCACGTCCCAGTTCACCACGGAGGCAGACCTGCTACAGGATTGGAGCCTCGTGTCACAGGCCGTCTCGAGCCTCCTGCAGGGTTCGGTGTAGAAGGGTGATGAAAGCGCTGAGGGTAAATATTTTTAGATTTGGGAACTGGATTTGAGGGAAAAGGTGGGTCGGGAGTCTGTACCAAATTAATGGAGTCAGGATCAGGGCCTCTGGAGACCTTGACACTGAAGGCAGATGTCCATGGTATATAATTGTGCTGGACCCAGTGATAGCTTTACGTAGTTTTGCTGTGGGAAATTGTCTTATGAAGGAAAAACATGGGACACCAAGTATAAATGTAGAACCAGATGGAGACGAAGATTTTACTTAAGGCTGCTTGCCGTTTATTTACTCATGCACACTCTGATCACTGTACACTCACTGCTACCTTACACTTTCTGCACTCGACACTTACATCCGTTATGGCGCACGTCAGGACTCTGTCCTTTACGCGGACATCCCTTCATTTATCTACGCCCCGGTATGGCTCCCCTTTGTCTACCCATTCGTCTGCCCCAAGCAGGGGATCATCCAACACCGCCCGGCGACGAGGTGAGACCTCTACATATCAAGCCCTCTTTGGCTGGAATGTCGTCCATGCAGGCTCTTGTTCCTCTCTCTCCCAACTACGACGACCCAGAGCTCACGCACACTCCTGCTTACATATCCCTCGTCATTCTGAGTCCGCACGTGCTCCCACTTAAGCTGCTGTCTGCACGGTATCACGTGCCCCTACTTAAGCTGCAGTCTCCATAGCGCCCCTTGCACTCGTTAATCCTTATCATATCTCCCATCTCCACAGCGCCTACCCCGTGCTCCCACGCGCACACCTGTTCGCTACAATTGCCTCTACTGACAAGAGAGTCTTACACAAGGTTGCATCATGCATGCCCTTGCACGACCTTTCCACAAACTCACTTTCCTGCGCTTGCCCCTCGTGGTACTCCTCTACAAAAGTAATCCAATTTGTTTAAATATGGTTGGCTGCTAGTCGTGTCCTTTAGGAGACACCCAAATTTTAGGTCTGTACCAAAGAAAGGCAACTCCATTTATAAAGTCAACACTTGCATTTCTTGCATTAAGTCCTAGTACTTCAATGTTATATACTGCATATATATTTAAGATATATTTATCTGATTCATCACTTGTTGAAATAATAGATCGGTCCACAATAAAGAAATCACATTCATTTTATGAAGTTCGGAATGAATACAAAAGGTCTGTCGTGCAAATTGGGATTTCCAATGTTTTCATGCTGTCTGCATTGTAGAATGACTATTTCCTTATATTATGATGACCTGTTATGTACTGTAGTTTGATGTTAACAGACATTGTTAACGATAAAAGCCATTGATGTCCTCTGAGTTGTCCATAAAGGTACAATCCGTCCTGGAACATGCTCCATTTCCAATTAGCATCTTCGCTCGTTCGGGCTGGGCGGTCTGCAGGAGCACGTGCGCAGGGTGAGGGCCTCGTGTGACACTCGCTGGCATTCCCGAAAGTGGAAAAACCTCACCGCACTCATTCATAAACAAAATTCCAGGGAGAAAGCAGAGCAGATCTAATGAGTTGTTGAATGCTCTAAATATTAGCTTGGAACACCATACACTGACCTTTTAAAAAATCCCCTGCAAACGTTATGCGGGGTGGTGGGGAAAATGCATCTTTGGCAGCTTGAGGAGGCCTCTTTCAAAGCATTACTAAAAAGACATATCCACTCACTGGCGAAGCCAGTGGGTGAGGTGGCACGCAGATGCGTAGCTAAGGGGGGGCAGGGGGGTACATGTGTCCCCGGGCGCCAAGGTAAAGGGGCGCCAAAATGAGGCTTACGTTACATTATAATCTTCTTGGTTCTTTCGGTAAAGTCACGTAGAATGGAAAAAATAAAAATAAAACTTTATACAATTTTTATTGAGAATTATTTTATTATGTTTTATTTTTATTATTTTATTATTATAATTGAGAATTATTTTATTATGTTTTATTTTTATTACTTTATTAGTTCAATTCTACGTGACTTTACTGAAAGAACCAAGAAGATGAATCCCTGCAGTCACGAAAGCTTTAAATCGAAAGTTACATTTTAACTTATTGCGGCGGGCGCGGCAGCCTGAAACTACTGCACAAATCTACACCTCAACCTAAACGTTTATATATCCCGCCACACACAGCCTACATGTCATGTAATTACATTTTGGTATGTGATTAAACGGGGGGGGTGGCGGGGGGCGCCAATTTTATAGTTCGTCCCCGGGCACAAAATATCCTCGCTACGCCTTTGGTGGCACGTGTCCCCTCCCCCCCCAATTATCCGATCGAAATCCGTAATTTCGATCTGATTAGAGTTTATCTTCATACTAGGTTGTTTGGGAGGCGCCTATGGCGTCCCCCAAACAACCTAGTATGTGGTTGTGCCTGCAGCGTCCCCCAACAACCACAGCCTGCGGCGCCCCCCAACAACCACAGTCTGCGGCACCCCCCAACAACCACAGCCTGCGGCACCCCCAACAACCACAGTCTGCGGCACCCCCCAACAACCACAGCCTGCGGCACCCCCCAACAACCACAGCCTGCGGCACCCCCAACAACCACAGCCTGCGGCACCCCCCAACAACCACAGCCTGCGGCACCCCCAACAACCACAGCCTGCGGCACCCCCCAACAACCACAGCCTGCGGCACCCCCCAACAACCACAGCCTGCGGCACCCCCCAACAACCACAGCCTGCGGCGCCCCCCAACAACCACAGCCTGCGGCACCCCCCAACAACCACAGCCTGCGGCGTCCCCCAACAACCACAGCCTGCGGCACCCCCAACAACCACAGCGTGCGGCACCCCCAACAACCACAGCCTGCGGCGCCCCCAACAACCACAGCCTGCGGAACCCCCAACAACCACAGCCTGCGGCGCCCCCCAACAACCACAGCCTGTGGCACCCCCAACAACCACAGCCTGCGGCACCACCCAACAACCACAGCCTGCGGCGTCCCCCAACAACCACAGCCTGCGGCACCCCCCAACAACCACAGCCTGCGGCGTCCCCCAACAGCCACAGCCTGCGGCGCCCCCCAACAACCACAGCCTGCGGCGTCCCCCAACAGCCACAGCCTGCGGCGCCCCCCAACAACCACAGCCTGCGGCGTCCCCCAACAACCACAGTGTGCGGCGTCCCCCAACAACCACAGCCTGCAGCGTCCCCCAACAACCACAGCGTGCGGCACCCCCCAACAACCACAGCCTGCAGCGTCCCCCAACAACCACAGCGTGCGGCACCCCCCAACAACCACAGCCTGCGGCGCCTCCCAACAACCACAGCGTGCGGCACCCCCCAACAACCACAGCCTGCAGCGTCCCCCAACAACCACAGCGTGCGGCACCCCCCAACAACCACAGCCTGCGGCGCCTCCCAACAACCACAGCGTGCGGCACCCCCCAACAACCACAGCCTGCGGCGCCTCCCAACAACCACAGCGTGCAGCGTCCCCCAACAACCACAGCCTGCGGCGTCCCCCAACAACCACAGCCTGCAGCGTCCCCCAACAGCCACAGCCTGCGGCGCCTCCCAACAACCACAGCGTGCGGCACCCCCCAACAACCACAGCCTGCGGCGCCTCCCAACAACCACAGCCTGCAGCGTCCCCCAACAGCCACAGCGTGCGGCGCCCCCCAACAACCACAGTGTGCGGCACCCCCCAACAACCACAGTGTGCGGCACCCCCCAACAGCCACAGTGTGCGGCACCCCCCAACAACCACAGTGTGCGGCACCCCCCAACAGCCACAGTGTGCGGCACCCCCCAACAGCCACAGTGTGCGGCACCCCCCAACAACCACAGTGTGCGGCACCCCCCAACAGCCACAGTGTGCGGCACCCCCCAACAACCACAGTGTGCGGCACCCCCCAACAACCACAGTGTGCGGCACCCCCCAACAACCACAGTGTGCGGCACCCCCCAACAGCCACAGCGTGCGGCACCCCCCAACAACCACAGTGTGCGGTACCCCCCAACAGCCACAGTGTGCGGCACCCCCCAACAACCACAGTGTGCGGCACCCCCCAACAGCCACAGTGTGCGGCACCCCCGAACAACCACAGTGTGCGGCACCCCCCAACAGCCACAGTGTGCGGCACCCCCCAACAACCACAGCGTGCGGCACCCCCCAACAGCCACAGTGTGCGGCACCCCCCAACAGCCACAGCGTGCGGCACCCCCCAAAAAACCACAGTGTGCGGCACCCCCCAACAGCCACAGTGTGCGGCACCCCCCAACAACCACAGCGTGCGGCACCCCCCAACAACCACAGCGTGCGGCACCCCCCAACAACCACAGTGTGCGGCACCCCCCAACAACCACAGCCTGCGGCACCCCCAACAACCACAGTCTGCGGCACCCCCCAACAACCACAGCCTGCGGCACCCCCCAACAACCACAGCCTGCGGCACCCCCAACAACCACAGCCTGCGGCACCCCCAACAACCACAGCCTGCGGCACCCCCCAACAACCACAGCCTGCGGCACCCCCAACAACCACAGCCTGCGGCACCCCCCAACAACCACAGCCTGCGGCACCCCCAACAACCACAGCCTACGGCACCCCCAACAACCACAGCCTGCGGCACCCCCCAACAACCACAGCCTGCGGCACCCCCAACAACCACAGCCTGCGGCACCCAGGCGCGCCCCCAACAACCACAGCCTGCGGCGCCCCCAACAACCACAGCCTGAGGCGTCCCCCAACAACCACAGCCTGCGGCGCCCCCAACAACCACAGCCTGCGGCACCCCAACAACCACAGCGTGCGGCACCTCCAACAACCACAGCCTGCGGCGCCCCCAACAACCACAGCCTGCGGCACCCCCAACAACCACAGCCTGCGGCGCCCCCAACAACCACAGCCTGTGGCACCCCCAACAACCACAGCCTGCGGCACCCCCCAACAACCACAGCCTGCGGCGTCCCCCAACAACCACAGCCTGCGGCGCCCCCCAACAACCACAGCCTGCGGCGGCCCCCAACAGCCAAGCCTGCGGCGCCCCCCAACAACCACAGCCTGCGGCGTCCCCCAACAGCCACAGCCTGCGGCGCCCCCCAACAACCACAGCCTGCGGCGTCCCCGAACAACCACAGTGTGCGGCGTCCCCCAACAACCACAGCCTGCAGCGTCCCCCAACAACCACAGCGTGCGGCACCCCCCAACAACCACAGCCTGCAGCGTCCCCCAACAACCACAGCGTGCGGCACCCCCCAACAACCACAGCCTGCGGCGCCTCCCAACAACCACAGCGTGCGGCACCCCCCAACAACCACAGCCTGCGGCGCCTCCCAACAACCACAGCGTGCGGCGCCTCCCAACAACCACAGCGTGCAGCGTCCCCCAACAACCACAGCCTGCGGCGTCCCCCAACAGCCACAGCCTGCGGCGCCTCCCAACAACCACAGCGTGCGGCACCCCCCAACAACCACAGCCTGCGGCGCCTCCCAACAACCACAGCCTGCGGCGTCCCCCAACAGCCACAGCGTGCGGCGCCCCCCAACAACCACAGCGTGCGGCACCCCCCAACAACCACAGCGTGCGGCACCCCCCAACAACCACAGTGTGCGGCACTCCCCAACAGCCACAGTGTGCGGCACCCCCCAACAACCACAGTGTGCGGCACCCCCCAACAGCCACAGTGTGCGGCACCCCCCAACAACCACAGTGTGCGGCACCCCCCAACAGCCACAGTGTGCGGCACCCCCCAACAGCCACAGCGTGCGGCACCCCCCAACAACCACAGTGTGCGGCACCCCCCAACAGCCACAGCGTGCGGCACCCCCCAACAACCACAGCGTGCGGCACCCCCCAACAGCCACAGCCTGCGGCGCCTCCCAACAACCACAGCGTGCGGCACCCCCCAACAACCACAGCCTGCGGCGCCTCCCAACAACCACAGCCTGCGGCGTCCCCCAACAGCCACAGCGTGCGGCGCCCCCCAACAACCACAGCGTGCGGCACCCCCCAACAACCACAGTGTGCGGCACTCCCCAACAGCCACAGTGTGCGGCACCCCCCAACAACCACAGTGTGCGGCACCCCCCAACAGCCACAGTGTGCGGCACCCCCCAACAACCACAGTGTGCGGCACCCCCCAACAGCCACAGTGTGCGGCACCCCCCAACAGCCACAGCGTGCGGCACCCCCCAACAACCACAGCATGCGGCACCCCCCAACAGCCACAGCGTGCGGCACCCCCAACAACCACAGCGTGCGGCACCCCCCAACAACCACAGCGTGCGGCACCCCCCAACAACCACAGTGTGCGGCACCCCCCAACAGCCACAGTGTGCGGCACCCCCCAACAACCACAGCGTGCGGCACCCCCCAACAGCCACAGTGTGCTGCACCCCCCAAC